CAATAACAAATCATTTTCACTTCGTATTTTCACGTTATCAGCACTTTTTAAATCGGTGTCAATGGAGTCTACCTTTTTCGATCTTTTATTTAGTTCTCCGTAACTCTACAATTTCGGGTTTCGTGCGCGCTCTTGCGCTACCTTTTTTCCTATATAAATAATATCTCATTTTTCACTTAAATCTTGCCGTTTCTGTATTACGAGCTTAAAACCAAAATTTGACATGTTTTGACATCGTTGTTTATCTGGTTGTCGTGGCAATTTTTATTCAAATATTGTTACCGGCCTGATGTTTTTACTTCAAAAATACTCTTTTCTTCTTGGCCATTTACAAAAATTTGCTTTTAATTTAAATAATTTCAAATAATTTCTCGTTCTTATCCCAGATCCGTCAAAAAGTATAAAAGCCGAAGAATCGGCCGATAGAGGTCCTCACTTCAGCTTTGATACGAGAAGCACCTCTTAAAGGCTTTATCCGCACTGCCTCGGGATCTTGCAAGCCTTCTCCTGAAGTCGTCGCCTAGCCACGCCTACGCCTCCACCTATTAGTGCCCGCGCTATCTTCGGCCGCTGAGCGTGTTTGTCTCAAGCGCTGCGTGTTCCTACTCCAGACGCTGCGTGTCTACTCCGGACGCTGTGTGTGTCTACTCCGGACGTTGTGTTTGCCTACTTCAAGCGCCACGTGTACCTACTCCAGACGCTGCGTGTCTACTCCGGGTGCTGCGTGTATCTGCTCCGGGCGTTGCGTGGGCCTACTCCAAGCGCTGCGTGTACCTTCTCCAGACGCTGCATGTGCTTTCTCCAGATTCTGCGTGTACCTAGAGCAGGCGCTGCGCACCTATCATAGGCATAGCCTGTGCATACTTCGTTGCAGTATCTTTATTTTTGTTATTTTTTTTAATAATATTGTAAATCACTATCATCATTACAGCCCATCATCACCTTCATACCTTTTTTTATAAAAGAAACTGTAAATCTTTTCAAATTTTTAAATAATTTATTTTATTTTTGGTTGTTTTGTTGTAATTAGGTTAGGTTATTTAGTTTTTAATTGTCGCTTCACGACAAGAACTAAGATCAATTCCTCTTCATGTGCCTCGTTTGGATTGGACGGTGCTCGTTACTAAACGAACTACATCAGCGTTGTGATATTTTAAGCGTTAAAGTGTAGAGCAATCACGTTCGTGCCGCAGCCCCAATACACCAGTATAGTTATACCGTGAATAACGAAGAGATTGCTATGTTATGGTTGTAGCACGAATGGGTCGGCTCGACCGGGGAAGTACCATGCTCTCACAGAATACTAGCGCGAAATAGCAGCTTAATGCTGCTGTGTTTCGTATGGTGAGTGTAGAGAACCAGAGACCCTTTTTTACTGGAAACGAGCCATTCCATTTTAGTCATCAGGGGTGACAACGCATCTGCATTTTACTTCTTAATCAAGGATAGATGTAGATGTCTATGGGCCGCAGCAACCACTTACCATCAGGTGGACTGTGTGCTCGTTTGTCACCTTTATTCTATGAATAAATAGAGTTCGTGGTTAACTTATTCTAATTTAAATCTATTCTAAAATAATATACTACTAATATCTTTGCGTATTGAAAATGGAGCAAATAAGTTTTTGACAAATCTTCAAAGTCATGTCTGCTGTCGGTTGGTGCATTCTTGTTGGTGTCTTCAAGTTTTGTTACAATATTATTTTATTTAAAGTAACAGAGTATACTACGTTTATTTTGTAAGCATAACTTTACTCACAATAACGTTGGGCTGAAAAATTCGTATCGTTTTATAGAAAAACACATTTTTTTGGCAAAATTCGATTTTATTATTCAACATAGTTGCCATCGAGGGCGATACACCAATTATAGCGATCTTCCAACTTTTCAATACCATTTTTGTAGTACGATTTGTGTTTAGCTCCAAAATAGGCCTCTGTTTCGGCGATTACTTCCTCATCGGCTTTAAATTTCTTTCCAGCGAGCATTCTCTTGAGATCTGAGAATAGGAAAAAGTCGCTGGGGGCCAAATCTGGAGAATACGGTGGATGCGGAAGCAATTCGAAGCCCAATTCATGCAATTTTGCCATCGTTTTCATCGATTTGTGACACGGCGCATTGTCTTGATGAAACAACACTTTCTTCTTCTTCAAATGGGGCCGTTTTTTCGCGATTTCGTCCTTCAAACGCTCCAATAACGCTATATAATAGTCGCTGTTGATGGTTTTTCCCTTTCCAAGATAGTCGATGAAAATTATTAATTATGTGCATCCCAAAATACGGACGCCATAACCTTACCGGCCGACTGTTGAGTTTTTCCACGCTTTGGATTCGGTTCATCGCGTGCATTCCATTCAGATGACTGCCGACTGGACTCCGGAGTGTAGTGGTGGATCCATGTTTCATCGATTGTCACATATCGACGCAAAAATTCACTTCTATTGCGGTTGAACAGCTCCAAACATTGCTCTGAAGCATCGACACGTTCTTGTTTTTGGTCGATTGTGAGCTCGCGCGGCACCTACTTTGCACATAGCTTTCGCATACCCAAATATTCATGAACGATATGTCCAACACGTTCCTTTGATATCTTTAGAGTGCCAGCTATACAAATCAACCTCAATTTACGATCTTCCATAATCATTTTGTGGATTTTTTTTTTATGTTTTCGTCCGTAACAGCCTCTTTTGGACGTCCACTGCGTTCATCATCTTCGGTGCTCATATGGCCTGTACGGAATTTGGCAAACCACTTACGAATGGTTGCTTCGCCCGGCGCAGAGTCCGGACAACACTCATCAAGCCACTTTTTGGTATCAGCAGCACTTTTTTTCATCAAAAAATATTGTTTCATTAAAACACGAAATTCCTTTTTATGCATTTTTTTCAAAATAACAAAAGTTGCTTCACTCAAAATGTTGTATCTCACAAACTAATAATCAGACAGCTGTCAAATTTATACACGTTTCTTTTGAAGGTTGGTACTACCTAAAAATGATATGGATTTTATTCTAGTGGCGCCATCTCATAGAGACGATACGAACTTTTCAGCCTAACCAATATTTTTTCGCAGTCAGGATCCAAGTAAAAGCTACATAAGTCTACTTACGTTAGTTTTGATCGGACAAAAATTTTGGTAGCACAGTATGTGCATTAACTATATTACTCCCTTGAAGATTTATGAATTGTTGCCTATTTTCATTAGTGGATTATTAAAATAAATTTTAGCACAGACCAGGTCTCGGAATTGGGAATCCGTTTTCAGGTGGTTAAAAATTATCCACTTGGAATAGATCATTTTTAATCACAATATGTATATCGCGACAATCCAATCGTGGATTCGAAACCACATTTTGCAGCCTGTGTTCTTAAACATTATGTAACTACGAGTATGTATAATCCTTGGCGGTACCTAGTTTAACGACTGAGTAAGCATAGACTAGTCGCGTATTTTGACATTTTGTAAAATAAAACTATACTATACGTTTACGCGCGCTGTGTTGTTAGTTGTTACACGTGTTTAATTCCTAAGTTGTAAATTCGGATATTGTTTGTTAATTTAGTTCATTCTTAACAACATCAAGATGAATAGAGATTATTTGATTGATGATATGAGAGTCATAGATGAAATTAATGAAGTTGTTAATCAGATTCCATTGATGAGACGTGTAAAATTTTATAAAATTCGTAAGAATCCATTGGAAGAACTTCAAGAAGCCGAATTTAAAATTAAATACAGATTTTCCCGAAGTACTGCCGTTTTCCTTATTGATATGGTGAAAAATGATTTAGTTAGTGATTCAAGAGGTGGATTTATTCCAGCCTATCTGAAAGTTTTACTGCAATAAGAACATGGGCCCGTGGAGAGGTAATTATAACTATGCACCTACTTACTATCGATTTCATTTACATTAACGTCTTTCTTTATCAATAGTTTTAAGAATTAAGTACATAGTTATTAGTTGTTATGATTTCTAATTCAATTATTTTTGTTTTCAACAGATTCAAGATGATGAAGGGGATCTAAGTGGACTGAGTCAGCCAACAATATCACTTGTATACAAAAAGAGTCCAATGGATTAAAATGCCAAGAAGTGATGTGGAGCAGAACAATGTGATTGCAGGATTTTATTCAATATGTGGATTTAGACAAGTGATAGGCGCTATTGATTGCACACATATTCGAATCCCGAAAGTCGGTGGAAATATCGGACAGTACTATATTAACAGTGAACCTTTACAGCTCAATAAATGTACAAGTAAGTTTTATAGCGCCTAACTAACTAAATTACGAAAACAGTAGCGAAAAGACAAAAACCAATAACCCATCTTTGCCATATATGTACTTAAAGTTATTTTTCTTAGATTCAGTACATACACAGTGAGATCATCACCTCAATCTAATTTCATATTAAAGAAGCTATGAGTGCTCTGTTCCAGGTTGTGTCAAATTCTAATTTGGAAATCATGGATATAGTGGCACATTGGCTAGGCAGCACACATGACTCAAGAATTTTTAGCGAAAGTCGCATAAAACAAAGGTTTGAGCAGGCAGAATTTAAAGGCAGATTTCTCGGAGATTCTGGTTATGCTTATACTCCTTATTTGTTTACACTATCCTGCGTCCTAATACAGAAAAGGAAGAAATGTATAACCAGTCACATATCAGGACCCGAAACACTGTAGAACGATGCTTCGGAGTGTAGAAGCAAAGGTTTCGGTGTTTACTGCGAGGACTAAACACCAAATTAAAGCATACGAAACTATATATTGTTGCATTGGCAATACTGCACAACATTGCAGTGCAAAAGCAAGATCTGCTTGAGGATATAGTAGAAGGAGATGATGAAAATATACCAGACAATCAATAAATAACTCCCCTAAGAGGAAATTCTGTACGGGCAGCATTTATTAATGAAAACTTTTAAAATAAATACACAATATTTACATGTACAAAAGATTTTATTTATACCCAAAAAACAAAACAAAAACGGTTATTCAATTAATTTTGCTCTTCACGCACTTTTCTTAACTCTAAAATTTCTCCCATTAGTTTTTCTTTGTGTATTTCAATTTTTATTGCATGTTCCTCTTCAGCCATTTCTAGACGTCTCCTGTGCTCTTCTTCTTTTAGCTTTTTGCTATGGCTTAGCATGTTATTTAAATAATCATCATGGTTCTGTAAAAGACAACCAGTGTAATAAATAAGATTATATGTTGATAGATAAACAGGGCAAGTTAAACAAAACTAGCAGCATAAATATTACCTTTTTATTATTTGACATGAGTTTTCGTTTGGGCACCTGCAAAAATAATAAGAATTAGGTTTGTAAAAAAGTTTTCAAGGATTTTTCACTGGCAAATAAATAATCATTCATCATAAAACTCAAAATTGAAAAGTGCCTCTCAATAAATTACACACCTTCTCTGCTGAAGTCGTGCCCATATTTTTGTTCATTGGAGTGGCCCCAATCGGATCTTGAGATACCTGTAAGATATTGTAAAAATTTAAAGTACACCATCGATTTCATACACATCTATGTACCTATCACCTATATTATTGTTGTAAGCTCACCACTGATGAAGTAAATTCCTGAGCATTCTCTTGTGCATCAACATTTTATATAATGTAGTCCTAAAAATGTAAAAATTATGTTTAATATTTTAGTATTCACAATGCAATACTTTCTGCTATATAATATCATAGATCAATAGATATTGTGACTTACAGCTATCTGCTGATTTTCTGGGTTAATATTCTCATCCACATTTTGTGTATCCAAATATTTGACCACATATGTCATGTTTTACATCCTGAAATAAATAATAAAGGTAATAACATGTAAGGCACACACTAAAGGCAATTTTGTATGACATCAATGTTATTCATTATTACTGTCCGACATTTTTGACCAACTGACCTGTAATGTGTTGTCACATGTCTCGCTGGTAGTTGCCAATATAACTTTATTTGACGAGGAACTTTCGATCTATTGAAAACAGAATAACAATTATGCTAAATGTGCTAAATAAAAATAAATATAATGATTAATGAATTGAGGACTTTGTCTTCTAAAATGTTATAAGGAGTAATAAAGAATAAAAAATGTACTCACAATCCCATCCGAATCATATATATTATGATCCCTCAACAGCTCTGCAGGATTCAACAAATCTTTAATTTCTATTATTCCATCATTAAGAGTTGCTGGTCTTGCCCCACCACCTGTTTTGGATAATTCTTTTTTGAAGGTGCTGTATTTCTTCCGAGCATTTACCTTCATTGTTTTCCATTGTATTTTCAGCTGACTTAATTGACGATGTCGGCTATTTAACTCATTAAACCTATAAGAATAGAAGATAAAATTAGTAGTATGAATCTTTTATTGGTTATTGTAATTTTAGTTATTGGGTTACATTTAATATGACTGTTCTGTATTTGAACCTACTTTGCGAACATTTTTCAACGTTACGATTATATCGCAAAACAGATTTGGAACAAATTAAGCAGATTTATAGATCATGCTCTGAAAAGGCACCTGAAAAGTCTTGTTTTATAGGATAAAAAACCTAATTAGATCATAAATACAGAAAACCATAATGATTTCTTAAACTTACACGAACACTACACATGGAATAAAACCATATTTGCGGATTTTATCATGTTAATAACTTATTTTTAATTCTAGACGTTTTGGGTGCTTTACAGCACCCATGGTCACGGGGGGGACTGAGATGTTTGATGTTCCAATGTCATAGTTAGCCTGTCTACCTTCAGTTTTCGAATAGTAATTTTTTTGTCCGATCTATGCAAAACGAACTTACAGTATCTTGAAGTCTTGCAGTGGTATACTTGGGTTTGGGTTTAATTTTGTTAATTATAGGATCCCAAATAGCAACAGCCATCCATCTTCTTTATTGAAATTAGGATGTTTTCTAATTTCAATAGCCTCGCTTATCATCCTTGGTAGGAACCCATATTTTTTGCGAGGATTTGTAGTTTATCAAATCAGATAGATGTAATGGTGGGGATAATCTTGAACATGTTCACTAAAATACGTAAATATAATTTTATTCAATACAGAAAACTATTTTTTTTTAATAACTATATGGCCCTTGGTATTGTGATAATGTCACAATAATTCTGCCAATGTCCGGTCTTCGGTCTGTCACACCTTGTCTTGAGGCTTTCCGGTGGAAAAGGAGTTAGTGGTTATTAGGTGAGAATGTGGATAAAAACAAAGCAACTAAATATATGAATTGAGGACCACACAATATAGAGTAAAAATCTAGTTAGAAAACTAATTAACTTACTTTTTGTGAACCTCTTCCCACGCCTTTGTTTTTATCTAGACATTTATTGTCAATAACGTCCGCAAATTCTCTAAGCACAGAGCGAAATAAAAGCTGAAACAGTAAAAGAATATTAATAAAGACTACGGTACAACGATAAATAGTACATTAAAGAAAACTATTGTCTGAAATTACCTTTTCTTCTTCATCCCAATTTTGAGAGCGAATGCGTTTTTGATCAATTTTGAGTCGAAAATAATATTAAAAGTAATTATATTTAGGAACCAACTTAGTTTTTCCGCCGAGTCCGAAAACAACACGAGGAACAACAAACTCAAAATATTGCCTGTCACTGTCATTAATGTCATCATCAAACATTGAGTTCATTCACCAATCATTCACTGACTCACTCTTTTTACTTTTAAAATAAGTGGGTTGGCATAGCGCACGCGCTAATCCCGGCGTAAGGAATGTATAGTTAGTCCGAGGTTACTCCATGTTTATTAATGACATTGTAATAACGGAGTTAATACTCAGTTACTCTGAGATTAACTAGTCCAAGTGTAACTTCGAATTAAGGTTGGAATAAGCAATTTTTATTAATAAGACAGCTAGACTCCAGCCTGATGATTTAGGTTATTTCTACAACACCTACTCTTTATTGCGGACTGTTATAGGCCGTTGAACTGCAGTAACTTATACTTAAGATAAATAAAATATGTGAATATATATAAACTTGGTATTTTTTTTTGTAAAATTTATCCGTTGCGAAATACGTATTTAAATGGAAAGTGTAATCTTTCATCTTTAGAATGTTGTGTGATATACGCACTCCCAGTGAAACTGATTTTACATAATGAAACCTGTGTTAATAACAATAAAATACTTTTTTGCTTGGACAAAAAAGCCCGTTACGAGGATAAGAAATCATTTTCACTTTCTGTATATATAATATTAAACTGTTTGCCGTTCTTTGTTATTAAATATTCTTTAACAAAGTGAGTCTGTTAGAATGAGCGATAAAGTTAGAGTGACGTAAGACGTCGGTATTTAGGTAGTGTTAAAAAGACCGCACGCAACTAAAAACGAAAACACACACAATTATTGTTTTTAAAACCTGTACATAGTCTACAAAATGCTGTATTAGCCTCATTACTGAAATAATCGTTCAAAATGTTGAATAAATTAGAAATATAGATGTAGTTTGGACTTACCAAATCATCAATAAATGTTATAAAATTCTAATAATGCGATTTTTAATATAAGGGAAGATTCGAGCATGCGGCTCACGTGATGGTAAGTGTTGATCGTCACCCATGAACAACTGAAACACCAGGAGAATTGCAAGTGCGTTACTGCCCTTTTAAAAAAAGAGTACGCTCTTTTCTTGAAGGGCCCTAAGTCGTATCAGTCCGGACAAATCGCTTGTGAGAGATGGTACAAGGAAGTTGTGCGAGAAAGAAAATTTCTGGTAAATCGCAGTGGTAGACCGCTAATCATCCAGGTAGTATGTATTACGGATGTTACGGAAGTGGTTATATCGGAACCGAATTCGAAAGCAGAATTTTTAAATATGTTTTGTCGGAACCGGAATCGGAGGTGAAGGTATAATAGATTAATAGATAGGTATGTGTTAAGGGCATTTCTAACAAAATAAAATTACACACACTATTCATCACAAATATATTCGTTGAAAAACTGTCTTCGTCTTAAGTGATATTTCGGTACTATGAACTGCATAAGTCGTCTGAATCTAATACCTTCTACGAAATTGAAGGGAAGACCTTGAAAAGAAATAATTTCAGGGAGTTTCCTCGCCCAACAAGTAACCGTAACATCCCTAGTATGTATGGTATCGCGAATTTTGTCGCGATGTGCGATGGTGAAATTTAGCTGCCGGAATTAATCCGAACAATTCCTGTGAGCACTCCCGGTGAGATCAACGGTTGTAAGTAATGCGATAATTTTAAACCGTTACCGTTATAGAGCTTATCAAAGTCCACTTCCGAACACAGACTTCTTTCGTTGATTCCTTCGTGAATCAATGTAAGAAAGAGGCTTGAGAGAGATTTTTGACATAGCTGCCACGCATGGCAGATGGTTTAATCTGTTACTAGGAAGACGTTACAAGTTTGCAAAGAATATAATATTGAGCCGCGTTCGCAAGACCCAAACGTAAATTCGTGACTTTATCATGATCTTATCAATAACATCCGAAGTTAAAGATAAACGCTGATATTTTCTAGAACTCATCTCGGTTTTTAGGTTTGTAGGTACCCTCTCTTATGATAATGTATGTTTTATTATGTAGATATCGAAAATAATAAATTACGTGAAGTGTTTAAGTCGTGTAATTCTCCAGACCGATTTTAGGTCACGGCGACCTGTCTCAACGGACTGGCCATCGGCGCAGGACAGGATTATAGTGCCCAAGTGTATGTGCAAGTACAAGTGCACTCTCTATTCCCTCATTCTCATAGTCTGATGGGACGGTAAACCGACACGGCCGGAGAGAGATCAGGCGCAGGACCAACGGCTTTATGTGTAAAGGCGCCGTCCTGACTCCGGGCAGCTACTGAGAATTTCTCGACGGAAAAATTCAATAATTGATTTTTTGGTCCGACCCTTGATTCGAACCCAGGACCTCATGATAAGCAGAGTGGCGTAAAAGGCGACAGAGAGAACTGAAACACAAGACAAAAAGCAGCATCTCCCAGATAATAAAAAAAACTGCGGTCACTAACCGTCTGCCAATTATGGCAACTATGGCAAATTTCACCGGTATGAGGTTATCTTTAGAGATAATGTTGATAGCCTATAACCTATAATGGTTATGGTGCCTAATGTTTCGCGGTAGAAGACTTCCGATTCCGTATTGCCGCAATATTGCGTTGACCCGGTTTCCTTTGCTATACCGCACTTCGTCCCGTCTGACAAAAACCACGTTATTTATCTAACGGGTAGCTGTTAGTCTCGTCCTATCGTATTTTTCATCTGTGTAACTTGATTTAGTATTTCCGCTTTCTGTAACTGGTTTTGTTGTTTTGAAAAATAAGATCAGCATTTATGTTATAGCTAGAGTGTAGCAGATACAAATAATGGATATCTACAGATTAGGGTTGCCACCCGTACTATAATGTATCGTTCGTATCGTACGTATCGTTCTATATTTCAGTCAATTGTACTATATATTATAGAAAAATAATATAGTACAAAAATACTATATTGTTATCCCTAATTCATTTATCGCGCTTTTTATACTTACTGTGATTGGAAGTCTGGAACAAGTTTAAGGAGAGTTTACGTTTAACGGAAATAATTTTTTCCATAATGAATTTAAAATTGAAAGAAGAAATAAAAACAGCATGTATTAATTTACTTAAAAATTAATTGTTAATTAATTTTAATATGAATCTAAATAGCTGTCTCCTCTAATTATTTTAAAGGTAAAGTTCAAAATAAGATGGTTACATAATGGTTTCTTATATTTACGCGAACACTACACATTGAAATAATACTAGTTTTTACGGAATTTATCGTGTATATTTAACTTTTTAAATACCCGACGTTTCGAACGCTTTACAGCGCTCATGGTCACTTGCACATGAAGCGCGCTTCCATCAAAACATACTTCAAGCCGCTGAAAAAGTATGTTTTGATGGAAGCGCCAGTTTTTGGTCAGTTTATACCATCAGTCAAGTGTAATGTCCCTCTGCAAGATGCAGGAGTGTACAAGCTTGATTGTGAATGTGGTCTCTCCTATATAGGACAAACTAATCAATAAAAACCCGCGTTAAAGAACATATAGCTGATGTGAAGAATCGACGCTCCGGGAAGTCTGCAGTCTGTGAACACGTACAGGATCGCCCCCGTCACTACATCAGATTTGATAGACCGCAAATCCTCGCTAAAGAACACCGATTCCTTCCAAGGATGATTCGCGAGGCTATTGAAATCAAAAAACATCCTAATTTCAATAGAGAAGATGGCTGGGTGCTACCATCTGCTTGGGATCCTATAATAAATAAAATTAAATCCCAACCCAAGCATACAACTGCAAGACTTCAAGATACCATAAGTTCATACTGCATAGATCGGAACAAAAGTTAAATTTTAATCTATGGTAACCGCGGTTAACTATGACATATGGACGTTGAACATCTCAGT